GTGTCGGAACCCCTGGATGCGTTTGCTCATTGCACCAATGCCAAACGTCCCTGCCGCGGGTTGCTGGTCCTGCAGCTGGGGCGATAACGGCTGCGGCTCAGCGTCCTGCAAGAATGTCGACCGAATACTTGAGTCGCTCAGCCCGCGCCCTCGCAACGTGCGCGTCACTTGCACCTCGCCCGCCTCGGCCCCGCGGGTCCACCGGCTCGTCAAAGTGCAGTGCGTCGAGATTCCGCGAGAGGCGTTTGCGGTCCGGCCGCTTCGCCCTGATCGTTGCCGTCGCCTCGACTTTGGAGAGATCGTGCGGCAGCACCACCCAGTCGCGATCGCGTGGCTGCGGCGCGTGCGCAAACAGGGCCATGACACGGCTGCTACTCGCCGCGCTCGGTCCGAGGCCTGAATGCGAGAACGACGGATTCGACGTCAAACTCGGGCTCATCGTGAGCATCGACGCCGTGCTCGATAGGACCCGCCCCCGCGGGGCGAGGTCAGTCCCACGTATCCGCTCCACCGACGGCACTGACACCGCGCGTCCCGCTCTTCGTGAACCCGACGTGCGCTGTCGCAATGCTCGCACCGACCGTCGCGCTGACTTTGCTGACCACCCTTGGTGCCGGTGTCTTTGGCCGTGCTATACCAGCGTCTGCCCTAGGATCCAAAGTCGCTGCCGGCGGCTGTGGCGAGCCCCCACCAAACAGCTTCGAAATCGGTGCAATCCAGCCCCCGCCCACACCCGCACTCGACGACGCCGCCGTCTTGAGCTTCGACCCGCCCTTACCGCCCGCCGCCGCCGGCGTGCTCATCACGTCCTCCGCAAACTTGGCCGCACCGCTAGGGTTGAGCACGATCCCGTTCACCTCGCCGCGCAGCCGCCCGGCCTCCTGCAGTAACTCCTTGAGCAGCGTCTGCAGCGCCCGCAATTCGCGCCGCCCCGCCGTCACCTCGTCCGGTAGCGCCTCCAGCCGTCCCGCCTCGCGCGTGACCCGGTCCAGCGTCGTCCGGCTCAGATGCCCCAGCACGTCGCGCGTCTGCCGGTCGCGGTCCGCCGTGCCACCAAGCCCCAGCCCTGCTGCAAGACCTGCAAGCGCGCCAACCGCGCCACCGCTCTGCTCGCTACTGCCGCCCCCGGCGAGCAGCTGTTGGCGCTTCAGCCGGGCAGACAACGTCGGCACGTCCGCTTCGCGCAGCCGCTGCAGCAGCGTCGCAACTTGTAGAACGAGCGCACCTAGCGGGCTCTGCGCGCCAGCCGAGCCCAGTGACCCTGTCGGTTTATGCGAGCCAGACATCGAGTCGAACATGCTGCTGGTGTCGCTGTGCGCGTCAACAGGCGTGCCCGCCGTACCGACGCTTTGTGTCTTTTTCCCTACGCCAGTACCGGCGCTGCTGTTGACGGACGGTCGTGGCGATGCACCACCAGATGGAATGGGTGTCGGGACAGTAATGATAACGGGCAGGTCGGTCTGCACGCCGCGCGACCGCGTGAGGAGCATGAGTGGTTTGTGAGTGCGGTTGCCCTCCTCGTCCGGCTTGACATGTGTTGCCTCTGGGTCCACTTCGATTGTCACCTGCGACGCTCTCCTCGCACGCGCTGTAGTTTTGGACGGCAGATCGCCATCGTCAGCAGACTTGGATGAAACTGAGAGCCTGGGTGAAGATGGTGCAAGCAGGTCCTCGCCGTCAAGCCTTGGCGACTTTGCGCGCGGTGATCCGAGTCTGAAGCCAGCTTGGACTCGCGGAGAGAGGGTGCCTGCCGAAAGGCGCGACAGGCTCTCTGTCTGTCTGTGTGTCCTGTAAGAGGGCGTGATGCGGCCGTTGGAGGGGTGGTACCAAGTCGAAGAGGTTGGCGTAGGAATGCCTGTTGACTGGTTAGCAATGATTATGAATAATGCCAGCAAGAATCAAGCGACAGCGACGATTTGGTAAGGTTGGTGGAAGGAGGTTGTGTCATAGATAGACGAAACCGAAAAGGACTGTGAACTAAAGTAGAGGCAAAAATGGCCACAAGACCACACGCGGACATATACTGGCAACGTATACCAGGAGCCCGTTGGGCGAGCAGATCGGCAGACTACCAACGCACAGGCAAGCTAAGCGATGCATCGAGAAGGTGCATGTCAATAGCGCGCGTATGCAGGAATTTCGGAACGAACAGGGAAGCGCGACGGGCGCGCATGCATGTAGAACGAAGTTCACAGGAACTTGAAGTAGCGGAGAGGTGGGGTGAACAAGAACGATGCCATGAGGACGCACAGGGAGTGCGGAATGGCGTGCAGGGGTGCGCGCGACGGACATGAAGGCAATCAGACGGAGCAGCACGTGCATGCAAGTACAACGGGGAGATGCGGGCGAACAAAAACGTGGCATTGAGAAGGTACGAGTGCAACAGAACGGCAGTGCAGGGACGGCGAGACCTCGCTCGCACCGTCACACAAGGCACGCGACGCGACTCACCATCACGAATGACATTGGCCTTGGCCTCCTCGAGCTCATCGCGGAGCACACGGTTGTCCTCGCGCGACTCGGCCAGCAAGTTCTGCAATTCCGCGGTATCCTTCTTGAGTAGTTCGTTGTCGGCAACAAGGGTCTGCAGTGTCTGAACGAGGTCGGCACTCGGCATCGTGCTGTGAGTCGTGGACGTCTGCATGGCACGCAGCTTGTTGCGCGCACCCGACAGGATTTCCTCTGAGAACTCGGATCGCGTCGTGCGGAGATGGTCGAGCTGCTCGGAAGCGTAATGAAGGTCGGCCTCGAGCTTGTTACAGCGTTCGGAGGCGGCATGTGCTTTGGCCTCGAGCACGCGGTTGCGCATGCGTTCAGAGTCGAGCTCGGCGCGGGTATCGTCCATCTCCTGCACCGCGGCTGCCAACTTCAAATCCCAGCCGGCAGAACGTGCGTTCTGCGTAGACAGCCGTTCAATAACCGCGCGCGCGTTGTCGAGCTCTTGAAGGAGGGCTTTGTTGGAGACGTCCGAGACGTCGTGCGACACGAGCGCGTGGCCAAGCCGTTTCTCAGAGTGGCTCATCTCACGCGTTACCGCGTCCACTCTCTGCAACAGCTCCTCGTTTGTGTGTTGTAATGTTTCGGCGCGCTGTGTCGCCTCGGTCAGCATGCGCGCCGTGTCCGCCTGCTGCTCCTCCAATGCATGGTACTTGCGCACGTAGTTCTCGTGCCGCTGCAAAAGTGCCTGTCCGACCTCTAATCACATATGTGAGTGTTATAGACACGAGTATGGAGCGACGACACGGACCACCGCTGAGAGTCAGACCGCGCTCGAGCTTTGCGCGCACGCGGTTCCACGATTTAGTCGTCTCGCACTCGTCCCCACGACCACAACAGCAGCCGAGCGACAACGGCTCCGGGGTGGGCGGGGACGAGAACGACGTGAGCGCGAGCGTGAGGTCATCAATTGTGGACGTCGCGAGGCTGAGCGTGCTCATGCGCGCGTGCCGTGACCTGAATCTGAGTTCGCGGTCAGGATCGGGCTCGGGGCTGGGCGACCTCGAGGTCCCCGTGCGGAGAGACTCGGCGTCCATCCCAGGCTCGGAGGGTTACAGTGGGTTCAGAGGCAAAAGTAGGCGGGAGATGCGGAAGAAAGAGTTGCGCGCAACTCCGCGCGCAGCAGTCCCCGATCATATGACTCTCAGAAATTCCCGTTTGGGGCGGCTCGCAGTGGCTCCCAATCCGCTGTGCCACTGCTATCTGGCTGTCGCTTGATATGGTCATGACATGATCACTTGAGCGCTATTTGACATAAACCAGGCGGCTGTCACCCACACGCAAGCGCGCCGCAACGCCACTGATTAGCGGCATATCACACATGGCTAAAATTACAGCTCGTGCAGGGCACGACTCGCAAGACGTGCACTATGGGATCCACGGTTTCACCTCTTCTTCTTGGACAACTTGACCTTGCAATCCGGACAGAACCACTTGCCCTTTGGCTGTGCCGTAAGACCAACGCACGCGAAATGGAACTGCAAAGCAATGTCAGTCAGAACGGAAAGGTACCGAACGTAGCTCACGCACCCATTCATGTGGACAATCCTGCTCATTATCGCATGCCACCATCTCGCCATACGACACATTATCACACAGGCAATACCTTGGCTCGTTAGGATCAATCGCCATATCGAGTGCCTTCGGCGCCGCGACCCCCGCCTGCGCTTCCGTCTGCACATCTACTGAGGCACTACCCGCTGGTCGCTGGTTATACCCAAACACAACCCTCCGTACACCCCCCGCAGCGCCAACCTCCTCGTGCTCCTTAATCAAATCATCCATTGCACGCACGTGCCGGTCCACAGACGCATAGGCGCTGCTGGCAATGGAGAACCGTTCCTCCGCCGCGCGCGCGTGTGCCGCCAGTGCACGGCCCAGCGCCGTCAGAATCTCGCGCGTATCGGTGCTACCTTGGTCGAGAGGAGCGGAACCATGACGGACGGCATAGTACCGCCGCGCGAGGTCCTGCACCGTCGCGAGCTGCGCCGCACCATGCTCATCCAGCTCGCGCAGCAACGCCGACTGCCGCCGCAACTGCAGCGGCAGCATCTCCATCGCTTTCCGATACATGCCGCGTCAGCATCATTTCAACGACGTCTTGAGCGTGCATGTAGCAGCGTACCTTCGTACTGTTCGTCGCGGAATTCATCCCACAGCGCGAGTCGGAGCACTTCGCGCGCGTCCTCTGTCATCGGCATCGGTGTCGGCGCGCTCGGTTGTCGTGTTGCATCTGAGCTCGAGATCAGGACGGCGTCACTGCGGCGCGTAGCGGGTGGCATGGCGTTCGACGAGAATGGCCAAAGGAGAATGCGCGACGCGCTTCCGAACTCCGCGTCAGGGCACTCACCTCTTGCAGAGCCCAAACAGATGCGACAATCATACTGGGCTAAGATAGTCACCGAGCATTTGGCGCGGCAACGTCTGAATGTACTAAACGACCAGGTTCAGTTTGGCCTTGCATTTTTGAGATTATGTATGGCCACTGCTGCAGTGGTAGAAGAGCTCCCGTAGCTCAATCGGTAGAGCGTTAGACTTTTACGGCTTCGTGCCTAATTGAGATTATCTAACGGCCGCGGGTTCGAGCCCCGCCGGGAGCTTTTTGCGAGGGATCATTTGTGATATTGAAGCTGCTTCTTCGAAAGAAGCTCAATCTTCAATGACCGCAGTCTGGGTGACGGAAATGCCCGACGTACGGTCGCTCATCTTTCCCTCGCACCTTCCTGCTTCAAGACTCCTCGCAGCCAACCCTGCCATTGTTGAACGTCAAGTCTTTGTTTCTGCATCACCGTCCACTTGAATCCCGCTTCGGCTACCGTGCACTCCGTGCGTGATCCAATGATGCGTCCGAGCATCGGAGTCGCGCCTCCACACTCCCATCTACATCTTCAGCAATGAAACGCGCGTGTCTACCTCTCACACATCTTGCCCGCCCCTCATCTCGCCCGCCCTTCCTCCGGCAAACGACTATCCCAGCCACCGGGCATCAAACGTCCCGCGCATGGCTGTAGCCTGTCCGTCCCGCGCACCGCCCTCGTGTTCGTCTGGTACGGATTGCCCTGTTTCGCGCTGACCCCCCAAACGTTTGCGATTCTGCGATTCTGCCGCACGGCCGTGCGTCGCACCGGGGCGTAAGATATGTGTGAGAATACGGGTCTGATGTGCCGACTCGGCAACTGTCGCAGCTGCATCCCCCGCGATGCAGCAGTAGCATATAATGCGTCAAAGCCCGCACCATCGCCGATTCAGTATCGTCCCAAGAGTCCTATCTTCTTCTCTAAGTCTAGAGGAACAGGGAAGAGAGTCGATATGTCTGAATCGACGGCCGTGCGCATCATCACCGACCTCCGCGAGCTGCCCAATGGTTACTGCCAAAGTATGTACCGGCACTGATATTTTGAGCTACTGGCTGACTTGATCTTGTCAGTGATTGCATTTGCTTGGTTTGCCTACGATTTCGGTGGGCAACATCCTGTTGTTCGTCGATGACCTGTGACCGACAATTTTCTTCAGCCTTGACATTTAGCGACGAGGTAAGAGCTGTGCGCAAACGCAATATTGCTTTACTCATCATGCCATAGATAGAGCTCATTTGGGTATGCTGCTGATCCTGACTAGTCCAACGCGCTTACACCTCGCTTTAGCGACGACGGCTGCGATGGAACGCTGCCCTCTTTTTGTCGGTGAGTGATATTTCGGCGAACCAACATCTCAAAGCTGAGACTTTCGTCATTACAGACGCGCTACTTTACATTCGCCTTGCTCGTAATGAGCGTGATAACCTGCACTGTGTCCGGCTTCTCGCAGCTGGTGAGCGTCCAACTACCACTTGACCCTTAGTTATATGCGGCTCACAAAGCGAAAAGGGATGCTCCATATTCGATTGGGCTGAAAGTATAGGCACCATCATTCTCGTCGCGTTAGTTCAGATCATCCTCCAAACGAGGTTCGTCGCGCTCGCCGTTTCGATTTTCGGCCACATGCAAACTTTCCTGCTGCAGAATATACGTCATTTACGGCCGGTCGCGACGCATACTCATCGCCAATATCGCGCTTTTCAGCCTGGAAGCTATAATAGCTGGAATTATGACAGCACTCTACTTCGGAGGCGAGATCCGTAAGCGACTCTGGCCGACGACACGTAGAGACGTTTACCTGCTTCCTCGACTAGAGGCTATCGTACCAACTTCAACGCTAGGTTCCTGCTTTGCCATCCGGCAAAAGAAGCTTGCGGCCGTTTGGGCAGCTCGTACGTTTACCACACAGTTTCTCAGGTTGCATCAGGGATCCTCATCAAGCGTTTAGCGCTTGCCTTCGAGACGTACCTCGCCGTGCTCGCCGTGCACAAACTGCGCGAGGAGTGGCAGTTGATGCGACTTCTGCATGACATGTCCATCATGACGCTCATCATCCGCGACAACATCTTATACTTCCTGCTGTGCGCCTCTCGCCTTCCATTCTGCGCGCCGCGCGACTGACAAAGTTCACGTAGGATCATTATGGCTATGATCACCAACATTGTATGTGAGATCCGGACCGAGCTCAACCCCGGGATATCCGTCATCACGTACGCTCCCGCCCACTTTGACTATTGTTTCCACGCTCATGCCATTTCACGCGTCGATAGGATCGTTCACGCGGTCGGCGCCATTGGCGGTAGCCGTATTGTGCTCTCGCTCCTGCACGGGACAGAGCAGTCAATCATGCTATCAACCAAGGCCGTATGGAAATGCCCAGCGTGTTTGCCGCGAGTATCGTCATGTTCAAGCCGCAGGACTCGTCGCAGTCCTCAAGTGACAATGCGACTGGTATTGGTAGTCTAGAGAGAGATCTTGAAGGTTGTCATCATGCTTCTCCCCGACAATCAGAATGATCTTGTCGTGAAACTGGACCTAGACCACGAACCTGCGGTCAACTTCCATGCGAGGTGTCATTTCAGCTGCTTTTACTACCACGCGAGTTGTTTTCACAGTCTTGTGCTCAGTATGGTCATCTACCGCAGGTCCTACTATAGCTACCGACAGTTGTGGCGCAACACAGTATCGGTAATTCCAGGCTAGGTCACCGGCTGCTCTACAGTGAATCAAACAATCGTTCCAATGTTTTGCACTCGAAACACGGGAAAAAAGACACAAACCGAGTCGTAGACACCCGCAAACATGTTCCCATCGTGTTGAGTGCTGTTCATGTTTTCAGCATTTTTATTAGAGTGACCATTGATGATGTTTCCTCCGCGCTTTTTGGGTTAGAATGTTGAAAGCACGGACGTCCGTGTTTTCCGTATTTTCTCCGAGACAAAATGGTGAAAGCATGGACGTCCGTGGTATCTCCCTTTTTTCTGAGAAAGCATGTACAATACATTGACTGTCTATATCTTCTACATATTTTCTGGAAAACACGGACAAAAAATGTTAACGTGCTTACACGCATTTTTCGTCGAAAAAAATGCTCAGTCCGGCCTCGTGTCAGCGCTCAATTCCGTCGCCAATTGTTGTTGCTCGCCACATGTCCCAACACGAAATTGTCGGGCATCATTGCCTGGGATTACGCCTGCGTGAACGGCGCGTTCGGTGAATTTAATCTCAAGTTCAACCACCGCCGACTTCGAGTTGCTTCACGCGGCCTGACTTCATCGCAACGAGAGAGATCGGCGAGTTCTCTGGAGGTCCGAAGCGAGGATTGCTACCAGACTAAATGCCCCGTTCATGTGAGATATCCGTAGTTGACTTCGCTCAAGCTCCTCGCCTGCTTGTCTTATTCAACACTGGCTAGATGACGAACAGGCTCAGCATCGTTAATTTTGATACAATTACGATTAAAATGTAAGTTCACTCGAGTCACGTTCACTGACAGCCAGAGGGCAATTGAGGTTGCATGCCTGGTCATGGGCATGCCAATCGCAACACGCAGGGCGAACAATATCTCCGACCTTTCGCCAGAGGACTCAATTGGCGGAGTTCCTGACCCGATGGAAATCATGTCATCGGGGTTAAACCGCGTGGCTCCGGGTTGACCTCAAACCTCGACCTCTGGCCACTTGCTTGCAGGTGCTCTGCGCACGCGGACGTTTGCCCGAAAATGCGTGATCCGCCAACGTAATCCTGCGGGCCACGGAAATCAGACCCTATGGTGATCAACGGAAAAGGAGAACCTTTCGTATTCACCAACGACTCGACCGACGCAGTGCGCTAGCGATAGCGCTGCAGCCGCCGTAAATCTAGCCTTGAGCCATTCTTGACCCCTGCTCAAAATTTCAGAATGATCGTTCAGCGAGTTCGTCAATGCCGAAAGTCACTCGACGAAAGGCACATCACATTCAGATTGACACCCTTTCCGCCGCAGATCCGCAGCATGTGTCAGACTATACATTACAAATCCAATACTCTCTTAAGAACCCAGACGAGCTGCTGATGTTCAGGCTTGTCAACGTACACCTTGAAACATGGCCTCGCCTGCGTCATACGTGGACCCACCAACGCCTACGTTGCTAGAGAGATTTATCGAGTGCGCTCGTGGGCCCGACGGCTGGCGACCGGTGGTTCGAAGTGGCGAGAATAGTTGGGCTTACGCCGACCTCGACCGAATCTCAAATGGCATCGCCGCCGACCTTCGAGACCGGCTTGCTAAGACGTCTCCGCTCACTCAGCCCATCGTCGCAATTGTCAGCTTGAATGACCCATTCGTTATTGCGCTCTCGTTGGCGGCATGGAAGGTCGGTGCTGTCTTTGCGCCGCTCGACCCGAATGTGCCCCTGGACCTGCTTTTCGCCATGTTGGCCAACATCGGCCCGTCGATTATCTACGACATGGTCAATTCTTCAGATGTCCATCGGGGCAAGCGTAAGTGTTGTCGGATTGCAGCATGAGCGGTGACTGAAGAATCTTAGACACCGCCGAGGTCATCACTGGGCCTTTAGAGTCCATGACTACCCTCGAGCGGAGGTACACTGCTGCGACTTTTGAAATGACCGGAGAGTCGCTGTCTCCGGCGGAGTTAGCACTATATGTTCACACATCGTCCGCGACTGGTCCGCACAACATCAAATGTGTTCCGATCACCCATGAGCTACTCGGCTCGTGCTGTGCAGCGGTTCTGGGTGTCACTCGGAAATACCTTCCGAACGAGGAATATCACCATCTGCGGGTACTCGGAATGTCTCCGTGTGAGTTTTATCATGGTCGCAGGCAACATTCTTCTCAATCTCAACAGTATCCCATTCTATGGCGCTATGCATGGATCTGGGGCCTTGGACGTACGGTACCCGAGGCTGCTATGTGTTCCCAAATCCATCCAGTCAGCAGGATCTCGTTGGTGCTGTTGTCGACACCCTACTCAATACCGACATTGACGCATTTCTGTGCATCCCCTTTGTGGCTCATGGCGTAAAAGAAAGGTATCAAGCAATAAAGAACTCAACGAAGGCCGCGAAAATGGCAGCCTCACTTCAGCGACTGAGGTTCTTCGCGACTGGCGGAGCACAGGCGGATAGATCGTTCCACGAGTGGGCTAGTGAGATGAACTTGCGCCTCTTCGAGTGCATAGGCAGCACCGAGACAGGTTTGCTCTCCCTGTTGCATGTTTCACTTGTCGTAACAAAGTC